GGAACATATCAATATATATTCCTATGAACTGGCATATGTGTATCGATATATGTATGTATTTGTGGATATTTACCTCGTGTTATATATCGATGTGTGATGCTTATCATAACCGAATGCTTTATGAATGTGCACGTTAGACTGACGTATACGTTCTGTTTCGTACTCAGGGAGATCCCCATGAGCCAACCAGTAATCGTTCAAAAGTTGACAGAAGATTTAGTATTTGGCTCACTACCGCATACAGGGAAACAGACCGTGGGAGATATCTGCTGTGGCGTGGGGCATCATTCCGTTCTGTTCGCGCTGCAAGGTACCAATGTCGTGTGGTGTTTCGTCTCTGATTTCAGTCGTGCTTGAGTATGTGTGTGTGTTTGTGCATGTATTGAATGTAGTTCAAATAATGGGGATACGACTTCGAGATAGTACTTAGTCGAAAAGTCCTAACGGTCCGTCAGCCACATCAATAAATATCATTTTGCATGACTTGGTGTGCATCATTTGGTGTATGTTTTAGGCTGGCATACCTCCATTTGTATCGAAACCGTACAGCTATTCTGTATATCCCAGCAGACAGTGTACGATGGTTTAAGTATCTGAGTTTGCACAGTTGGGTTGGTGAGCTTCACTAACTCAATCAATACTCCACATTAGGCGATCGACTTTCCCAATCGAGGACGCTGTCCCTTACAACCCCTTCTTTCGCCTATTTAATAAAAGTATCATATCGTGAGTCCACTTCTGTTGATACTCTTCAGCCCGGCGCAAGCATCTGCTATGGTGTATATGACTAGGGAGATAAATTTGGCGCTCGAAGCAATCTAGCCTGTATGGGATCTTAATTTAGACGTGCAATATCCATCTGCTCTCGTGATTTGTACAGGATTTCATGTCACTGGGATTGATATCAATGCGATTGCCATACAAAGGGCCCAAAAAAACAAACTGAAAGCTCAGGCTGCAATTGAAGGTACAGACTTTCTGTGGTTTGTTTCCGCGAATACGTTTCACTGATCGCCTGTCCTATTAGTGCACATGAGCTCCTTCACCACATTGGTTATTCGAACGGGTCGTTGTTGAGGGACAGTTGTGGCTATCCCTATATATCATAGGTGTGATAGATGATGTTGATATTTATATTTGTATACATTTGTGTATATTCCTGTCGAGCGGTTCGCCCAGTGGATGAGGCAGGCAAGGCAGTAATCACTTGCGTGCATGCGTGGCAGAAGCCTCGCAATGATTCGACGGCTCCTCCGCATGTATAATTCATAAGCTACTTATAACTGAATGCACAAGTGTAGGCTTCCATCATTCAGACCGCTTCATACATGATGTTTCATAAGTTACTTATAACTGAATGCACAAGTGTAGGCTTCCATCATTCAGACCGCTTCATACATGATATTTCGTAAGCTATCCATAACTAAATATCCAAGTATGGTCTTCCATCAATTTTGGCAGCTTACACATCATTCGCCTTCCACACCTACTCGCAGCCGCCGGCGGCAGCTTAGCATTCATTTGCGGAAATGTGTTGGAAGATCGAGATATTTCAGCGACTGTGGGCAAGTTTAATATACTCATCGATTCGGCGGCCTACCATTGCTTCTCTCCCGTCAAAAAGTCGAGCTACGTGCGCTTCCTCACATCGCTGTCACACATGGGAACTAGGCTGCTGTTTCTGAATCTTCGGTAGTATGGGTGTGCCTGTTCATGTAGTACAGATTGTAATTACAGATATGATCATAAATGAAGGGGAAGAAATACGGTGTCTCCGCAGTGTAGCACAGTACCTGCCAATTAGCTTCAATAGGACGCTTTATGCGGAAGCTTTGAAAGATGCTTTCTGAGTTCTCATCTGCTATATTCTAATTGATTGCGTAGTTATGGTCGTTGTTTTCATTGTACGCTTCAGTATCTCGGTAACATATGCACTTGCACGATACTATAATATATGCCCCCAAGTTGAAGTCGCTATATATTATGCGTTTACGAAGTTTAGTTTGTATCTATGGTTTATTGAACATACCTGAGTACACACCTCCGCTGGAGGACTGACGTTCAGAGCTTATTTCACCACATAAAATCCCGATCGCATGCAACAGAATAACGGACGAAACGACAGGGTCCGGCCCACAGACTTGTTCGAGAGAAGAAGTGAACGAAACCTTCACGCAGTCTGATTGGCAAGTGGATGTTTTAGAAGACAGTGTTTACCATCACTTCCCCATGGTAGGAGAAGGCGGGCCAGCATTATATGCACTCTTATCGTATAAGAGTAAGAACTGAGCCTCGACCGGCCGTGATGCCAGACCGATGTAACAGAGAGACCGAAAACGTGCCAGGGGTTCTGCACGTTATTTGTATGGTAGTAATTCTGTCGTACTCAGCATGAACTCGTCCTTTTCGGTGACTAGTCTGAGAGTGTACTGCATACTTGCACACAACTATGTATGGGAGAGAGCGCACGACTGTAACCTAGTGCAGAACGTCTACGCTACCAGTGCCAGGATTTCTTCTAGGATCCATGCCTCTGAAAGGCATTTAGTACTTTTATCAGTTAGATTCTGTCCCTCCAGCCATGAGCCCATCCGCAGAATCGCTGGTTTGGCGAAAAGTAAATCCATATTGCATCGAGGCTTGAAAATCTTATTTGCGATATCGGTAACGACACATCCAAGTACATTCGATATCAATACTAAAAAAATCCGTATATGAGTATCAATTTAAATGTAAGTACAGATGTTCAGTTGCAAAAATCCGCTGTACAAGTATATATATATATATATA